ATCATCACAACAGCATCCCCCATGCATGGTGACCTCCCACAGCAACAGTCAAAACCCTGTGGGTGGCTTAGGTTGTTCCCAGCAGGTTGCTTCCTGAGGCACCTGCCTTCTGGTGACTAAGAAGAGGTGTTTGCTTCTGCTACCTTACTCAGGTTTGGCCTATCTGGCACACGCACAAGCTACTATGTGTGGCTATGTGGTGGCTGGTCTGTCAACTGTCCTCTAGCATATCTCAAGCAAAGTTGGGGGTGGAAGGGGAGGTCTCGCTGGCTCTATCCTGCACCTCTCCCTCTTAGACCCCCCCCCATCCCACCCTTGGGACAAGACCCTCAAGATTCCCTCCCTTGCCCCAATCTCCCCTGTGTCTAAGAGGCCGAGGCTCAGGATGGGTCACTGGGCTCCCTACACCCCAGGCTCGTTGGATTGAGCAGGCAGGATCCCTGCTGGGGGCCAGTTCCCTCCTCCTTTCTCCCCCATCAATGGCATAGGACCCAGTTGGGCAGAGGTGTGCCCAGCAGGCTGTTCCCCTTGGGATGAATGTGGCTGGCTCTGGTGGCTTCCCTCTCCTGAGTGCCATGGAGCCCGTACCAGCAAAAGAAAACTGCCAGGCCTAAAGCTCATATCCTCTTGGACAGGTGTACCACAGGGGCCCAGTTTGGCCGAGTATGGGCTGGGCTCCAGTCCCTGTCTTGTAACTAGAGTGCCGGGAACTAGTGCTTGAGCCCAGGCTGTGCCTCCTCCCCAAGACCTCACGGCTGCCATGGGTGAGACAATAGCGGCATCCCCCCCCCCCCTGCACGCCCACCCCACTGCTGCAGGTCAGGTCAGGCTGGGAGGCACCGAGAGGCTGGCCACAGCATGACCAGCTCAACCCTTGTTCCATAAAGCATTTGCTGACTTCAGCCCTGGCCAGAAAGGCCTTCCCAGAGTCCTGACAGGCTTCCCAGGCAGGCAGACCCTATCCATGGCTCACTGAGGGGACACCACAGGAGTGAGAGGCTTGGGAAAGGCGCACCGCCATCCACCAGCAGCCCTGCTCCCAGCAGCCAGGCAGTGCCAGGGCCAAGCTCCTGGTACTGGGATGCTGCCCACAAGTATCAGTGAATGCAGGGTGTGGTTACACAGTGGTGCATCCACCTTGGTGTCCCTCCGCAACCCCACCAAAATCAGCCCAAAAGAAGCAAGGGGGGTGGTGCCTTCTAACTAAATGAAGCATCTAAAGAGTGGGGGAAATGCCCCTCAACCCCCCCAGTTTCTCTACTGAAGCTGTTTGGGGAGGAAGAGGAAGGGGATTTTAGTCCTGCAGCAACTGTATTCAACTCTCAGATTCTCCTTCCTAGAGGGGGGATGCCTCCCACCCCCTCCTTCCCCAGCCCTGCAATATTTAAAAGCCCATATCCTGGGAACACTTGATTAGTATTCAAGAAGTTGGATTTCTTTTGTGCAGACAATCAGGGGCAGGTGCCCTGTCCCTGCCAGCAGGCAGGGCAT